CGATTTTGTCCCGATCTTCGCGTCGTTTTACAGTGAATCCTGCCATCGCCGCGTCGGAGGAGCACTCCGCATGTGTGCACTCTCTCCTGACCGACTGGCCCTCCACGGTTCGGAACGGTGCTCTCGCCTCCCTGTGCCGCACTCCGGGCGCCACGGCGTGCTGCCCCGCGCGGGGGGGACGTCTGTCCATCTTTGCCCTCCAGCGCGCGGATCCCAGGCGGCCGAAGCTCGGGGGTGGACAGAACCCCCAACAGTGACACGTCGATTAGTGAATTGTCCGTTTTCGGTTCTCGAGAGGGCGCCGTGGCCGTTATTTTCCAGGCTTTCGCCCGCCAGGTTTGGGCCTCAGGTCGTTTTCACTAAACCACGTTTTACTAAAGGGGGGTCTGTCCATCCCCGAGAAGCAGGGAGGAGAGGAGCGCGTGGAAGCAAGCGGGAGGGAGTGGGAGTGCGGCCAAGGCGCTGACAGGAGGGCCGCTTTTGACGCGGGGGTCGCTCTGATTTTCAAGCCGTGCTTCAGATCTAGGTCGGGAGACCTATTCGTGGCCGAGGCTCGCCGTGGCTCGAAAGTCCCTTCGTGCCTTGATAAGGAACGAAGGGACTTTTCTGAATCAGCGCTTGATAAGTTCTTCAGCGATCCTTTGGTAGCACGATGGCCGCCTGTGGAAGCAATTGGAAACACGTCGGGTCAGGTAAGAAGCGCATGGCAAGTCCAGCGTCACGTGAGGGCCGGGGACGGTCGGCGCAAGCCAAAAGCAACAGAAGCTGTCGATCAGCGAGGGCCGAAGACAGTCGGGGACAGGGCCGGACCAAGGACGTTGGCGCCGCGCCAGGTCCAGGGTCAGTGGGACAGAGCCGGAGGTCGGGTGGGACTATAGGACGGGGATGAAGCCGGCGCAGAGAGCGTTCCTGAACGCTCTGAGAAGGCCGCGGCGCCCGAGATGTCCTCCAGAGCCGCTGGACCTCAGAGAGCCCCGATTTATCCTTTCTAGCTTCATGGGCTGACGCCGCACCGCCGACCCCTTGGGGCGGCAGTAAGAGTGAGAAACGGAGTTTGCGGAACGATTTCTGGGAATCTTGGGGTTTCAGCTTCTTGGGAGTTAGTCGGGGGCGGTTGGCGGATCGCCGTTCTGCCCGTGGGCTTCTCTGGGCTCTCATGGCATCACTTTTGAGGCCTCTTGGGAGCCGTTTTGAGGCCTCTAGGAGCCTCTTTTGGGCCTCTCGGGGACCTCGTGGGAGCCTCTTGGGGGCCTATTGGCGCCTCCTCAGGTTTTTTCGGGGCCGAGTGCTCGAAATGTTCATCCAGGTTCCCACTCTGGGCCTCCTCTTGGGACCGTCCTGGGGCCCTCCTGGGTCGTTTTGGAAGCTTCTGGGGCCGTCTTGGGGCCTCGTGAAAACCCAAGAGGCGAATGTGCTAAACATATACGTTTTCCCTTTGGAATGGGACGATTTTTGCTTCTGGGGGGCCTCTTGGGACGCCTCTTGGTGGCTTCTTGGGGCGTCTTGGGGGCCTCTGGGACCGTCTGGAGGCGATCTTGGGTGTCTTGGAGCGATCTTTCGGCGACTCGTAGCCCTCTTGAACTGTCCGGGGGGCCTTTTGGGGCCCTCTTGGCCACTTTTGGGGCCCCCTGAGGTTCCAAGGGCGCGGCCGACACCTGTGCCCCCCCCCCTCCAAACCGGCCGGACCCGGCTCCCGGGGGAGGGGTTTAGGGAGGGAAAGCATTTCACACGTCGTGACCCCAAGGGGTAGGCGGATTTTGTCCTCGTCCTGGCTTCGTCTTAGGAGGAAGGAGCTCGTGGTGCCGTGCGAGGTCTGGCCGGACCGAGGAAGTCGGCATCGGGCAGGGTGCGGGCCTGGGGCCCGAGCCAGAGGGCCATACCAGTGAGTCGGCAACCAACGAACACACGGCATTCGGGACCAGAGACAGCAGTGGGACACGGTTGGGGCGGGGGGAAGTGTGTGACGAGAAGGGCAAGGGGATCGAGCCAGCTAGGGACAGCCAGGAGCAGGGCCGAACGGAGGGAGCTGGCGATGGAAAGGGCGCAGGGCCAAGGGCGCAGGGCCGAGCCAGGGGGAAGATCGGGGTCGGATGAAGGAGATTGACGTCAGACAGGGCACGGGACCGAGCCGGGAGCAGCAGGGGACAGGGCGGAACGAAACATGTTGGGCACGGGCTCGGTTCGCTGGAGTCTCGGTTCGCCAGGGCTCGGTTCGCCGGGGCTTGTTTCGCCGGGGCTCGCTTCGCCAGGGCTCGCTTCGCCGGGGCTCGCTTCGCCCGGCTCGATTTCGCCCAGCTCGGTCGGGCGGGACAGTCAAGTATGACGCATCATCGAGCTGGCACGCGCGAACCCTACCGCGGGTCGGGCCGGGCGGGCGGACCCTAATCAGAGGGTCGGGACAGGCGGGCGGGCCTGAACGGGAGGGTCGGGTCGGGCCGGCGGGAAATTCAAGTAGGACGCATCATCGAGTTAGCTCGCGCGAGCCCTGAAGGGTTGGGTCGGGTCGGGTCGGGCGGACCCTAACGGGCGGGTCGGGTCGGGCGGGCGGCAGCGTAAAGTGGGACACAGCATCGAGTTAGCACGTGCGAATCCTAACGGGCGAGTCGGGTCGGGCGGGTGGACCCCTACTGGGCGGGTCGGGTCGGGCGGGCGGACCCCGTTAGGCGGAGCAGGGCGAATCGAGACTCGGGCGGACTGGGCCCTGGCGAAGCGAGCCAGGCGATTCGAGCCGCGGGCGAATCGAGCCCCGAGCGAATCGAGCCGGGCCCCGAGCGAATCGAGACTCGGGTGATTCGAGCCGGGCGAATCTTTCTTGTCCGGGCGAATCGATCTGGATTAATCGAGATTCGGGCGAATCGAGCCAGACGATTCGAGCTGGGGCGAGTCGATCCGGCCGAATCAAGCCGGGCGAATCGAGATTCGTGCGAATCGATCATGCCGAACCAAGCCCGGCGAATCGAGACTCGGGCGAATCGAGACTCGGCGAATCGAGCCAGGCGAATCGAGCTGGGCCAATCGAGACTCGGTCGAATCGTGTTTCGGCGAATCGGGCGAATCGAGCCTGGCGAGGCTTGCCAGGACGAACCGAGCCTGGCGCATCTTGCCCGTGCGAGTCAAGCCTCGGGCAAACCAAGCCTATGCGAATGTTGGAGACCGCGAGTGTGCTGACGGCGCCAGGGCCTGGGGCCCCGCGCGGCCATGGCCAGGCCAGAGATGTTGGTGATTGCCAGGCCAGACCAGAGTAGTGCCAGGGCTGCAGTCTGGGGGCAGGGCCAAACGTCAGAGGACGAAACATGTATCGATACCTCTGCCTTTTCCTCGTCGCCACGGCCGGATTCGCCTTTAAACTGTCCAGGGAGTCGAGCGGTATCGGTGTCTTTCGGTCCCGCCCCAGAACGAAAAGGAAGCTGTCGGCGGTGTGGGCGCGCCCCGAGCTGGGAACAGCGGGGGGCAGGGCCGCACACAAGGCAGGCTGGCGAGTGGCACGGGGCCTAGTTTGGGGCCGCTCGGGACCAGGCCGAGGAAAGGATACACCAAATCTCATAATAGTGGGGGGGGGGGGGTCAAAAAAGTGTTTGACGAAGCCCGTTAGACCCCCCCAAAAGCAGACCCCCCCCCCATTGTTATGAGATCCGGAGTGCACTGCTGGATGAGGCGGTCGGGGACAGAGACGACGACGGCAGTCGGCGCCGGAGGCAGCACGGGGCCGGCCTGGGCCAGAGGCAGGCGGGCACGGGGCCGAGCGGAGGGAGCCCGCGGCGATGGAGAGGGGGCACTCTTGTCGAGGGCGTGTGTGTAGCAGGAGCCGGACGGAAGGGGGGGATTGGGAAAGGGGGGGTAACGAAATTTGCTGCATGCAGCTGGTTCCGGCCTCACCGAGGGGCCCATTCCTCGATACAGAGCCGCCTGCGGCGCCGGGAGGCGCCGGGGAAATCAGCTGCGTGAGCTGATTCTCGTACCCCCCCTTTGCGTTCCCCCCCTTTCGCCCGACCCGAATGTAGCAGGAGCCATTCCAGTGCTCGCGCTGTTTTGGGGGAGGTATGAGCGTGCCCAGTAGGGCCTTTCCTGATGCCCTCCCCCCCCCCTCCGAAGCTCTCGGCTAGCAGTCGAACTCGTCTGTCCCCTCCTCGTCGTCGCCCTCCCCTTCCCCTCGTCGTCCCACGCTCGGCCTGGGCGTGCAAGGAGAAAAATGAGGATGATGATGGGGAGGAGGATGAGGAGGAGGAGGAGGAAGGGGAGGAGCCGCGCGTGCAATTCTTTGCCCACTATTGCTCGCCTGCTGGTTCTTGTTGGGGGTATTTCTCCTAGCGGATTCGGCTCTCTGGTGTATCTGCACGACTGGAAGTTTGAGCTTGTTTGTGCAAGGCTTGCACGATAAAACGCTACATCTCCAATCGAGTCGGCGCCTCGAAAGAGTAAGTGATAACGACGATGCCGGCGTCACCGACTATAGTCTAGTGGAGGCCTGGGTGATGGCCGCCGCGGTGGAATTATCCGTAAGGGCTTCGCCCCCTGCCGCCGGTCCCCTATCTCGGATTATGGGAGATGCAAAAGCTAAATCATGAGGTCTGGGCGCCGCCGTGAAGCAGTGTCGGGACCTGTTTGTTTTTCGACCCTCACCCTACGGATCTGCGTCACGGGTGCCACCGAATTTCAGAAATGTGGCAAATCTCCTGTGTTGTTGGACCCTGACCCTACGGATCTGCGTGAGGGGTGCCGCCGAATTTCAGAAATGTAGCAAATCCCGAGTGTTTTTGGACCCTGACCCTGCCGATCTGCGCGAGGGGTGTTTCCGAATTTCAAAAATGTAGCAAATCCGCAATGTTTTTGGACACTGACCCTACGGATCTGCGTGAGGGGTGCCGCCGAATTTCAGAAATGTGGCGAATCCCGAGTGTTTTTGCACCCTGACCCCGCCGATCTGCGTGACGGGTGCCACCGAATTTCAGAAATGTGGCGAATCCCGAGTGTTTTTGCACCCTGACCCCGCCGATCTGCGTGAGGGGTGCCACCGAATTTCAGACATGTGGCAAATCCATAGTGTTTTTTGGACCCTGACCCTGCCGATCTGCGTCACGGGTCCCACCGAATTTCAGAAATGTGGCAAATCCCTAATGTTTTTGGACCCTGACCCTGCCGATCTGCGCGAGGGGTGTTTCCGAATTTCAGACATGTGGCGAATCCCAAGTGTTTTTTGGACCCTGACCCCGCCGATCTGCGTGAGGGGTGCCACAGAATTTCAGAAATGTGGCAAATCCCTAGTGTTTTTGCACCCTGACCCCGCCGATCTGCGTGAGGGGTGATAATTTGTATCCACCCCAGCAATTTAGACAATACGTTTTGGCCGTGGTAGAAATGCGCGTTTGGGGCCTCCCTCCCTCGCGCGGTCCATCAACAGCAACTGTAAGCAGCAAGAAGGAGAATTGCAACAAGGAGCAGTAAGCAGCAAGAAGCAGAACTGTAACGGTGGAAACTGGAAGCTGCAACTGGTACAAGAGACTGCGAACCTCCGGCCTACAGACTGGTGGCCCCACAAGGGGGCCGGCGGACTAGTGTCAATTATTGATGGAGTCCCAATCCGTCAGTAAGCCCCCGGGAAACAATCAGTTCCCTATGTTGGTTGGGGGCTATGCAAGACTCTTCTGGATGAACCTGCTGTCTCTATCGATCATGCCCTCAGGGCTTCGGACACTCCTGCGTATGCTGCGTGTCTATGAGATGGTGCTCGGGATCGCGGTGCTCTTCCAGTGGGAAGGCCCTCCGTCGTCCGCGCTCTCAGCGCGTTCTGGGGCGCTCTGGAACCGCCGCGGCGCTCGACACATCCTGCAGACCAGCCACCGCCGCCGCCGCCGCCGCCGCCGCCGTCGTCGTGGTCGTCGTCGTTCGCATCTTCCAGACTCTGGAGGCCTAGCTCGGGCTTCTGGGGCCGCCGGGTATCGATCCCGCCGCGGCGCGGGGGGGGCGATCCGAGCGCCCGCGAGGATCCACTCGCCGCGCAGGAAGTCCAGGGAGTCGCCGGAGAACTACTCGCCGCGCGGCCGGCGGGGCTCGGTCGGCTCGCTGGTGCATGCCAACCTCAAGGCCTCGTCCCCGGACTACAAAGCCTATGCCCACCGGTCGAAGCGATCGCCCGCCGGGGCACAGTACACCTAAAGTCGCCCCAGCTGGCTCGGAGAGCGGTGCCCGCCGCGATCCTCCAGCCCGCTGCAGACCAGGAGGAGGGAGCGAGGAGGAGGAGGAGGAGGAGGAGGAGGAGGAGGAGGAGGAGGAGGAGGAGGAGGAGCGCTACCATCGTCTTGCGCCCTGCCAGAGGCAGGGTCGACCGGCATCCGCCACGTTTGCGGAGGCCTGTTAGCAGAGACTTTGGCGTACGCCGCAGGGGTCCTAACGAGGGGGAGTGGTCAAGGAAGGCATGTGGAATTTCTGCTCGGGGGGCCGCTCCATGGTGAATCTCGCCTCTCTCTGCCAGCCCAGCCGATTCCATGACAGACCCCCCATTAAGACCCCTGCGTGAAGTAAGGCCTCGGCTTGCTTTTTTTACCGCGCATCCCCCTTCGGTTGCCCTTCAGTGGACCTTGGCATCGGAGCGCGCTGATTTGTGGATCATGTTGGCGCTGGAGCCTCAACCATGGCCAGAGCTGCTCGATGGCCTCAATGAGAATCTTGCTGTCATCCAATCGATTGTGTCGACACTCTTGCAGAGATGCAGCTGTGACCTTGACACCAGAGAACATCAGAGAACATCATGATCACGATGTCGGCTCGGACGAAGTGATTAGTGCAGTGGCCCATTGCAATTTCAGTTCGGCAGAATTCCTAAGTGTTTTGACGTAGCAAGAAATATCGGCATTGCAATTTCGGAGTAGGATATGACTTGCCGTGTATGATTTCGTGCAGTCCATCGACGTCCGTGAAATTCATTTCAGTAAGGCATTCGCCCTGTGCCGCCGCTCACTCACTATCATAATGAGATATATCAGAGCTATGTGGAGGAATAGTGGCACCGTGTTGAAGACATATGCGAACGTCGTGCGAGGACGGCGTTCAGCAAAACATGTTACGTTGCGTTGTCTTTTTAAAGCGTTCCCCTTCGTCTTCTGCAGGAGAAGCCCAGTACGACTGAGGATTGCTTTAGGCCATCTTGGACCAAATCGCGGTTGGGATCTTCTGCTTCCGTGCGTTCTTCGCAATTTTCGAAGATTCGTTGCTGCGGGTCCATCCACGATTTTTCAAGAAACGGCAGGGGCCGAAAAGCGACCTCCGAACACATGTCCCAAAACAGAAATCTGTGCTTGTTTGTCTGCTCTGGAGACGAGGTTGCGGCTTTTGGGCAGCCTCCGCGAGGTGGCGTCGTGGCCTCGGGGGCGTGAACGTGGCATAGGTTTCAAAGGATCGTGGCCTCAGGGGCGTGAGGGTTGCGAGAAAAAGAGGTGCCGTGGCCTCAGTGACGCCAGCGTGGTGTAATGTACCAGGGATCGTGGCCTCGGTGGCGCGATAGCGGTGTACTTTCCGAGCGATCGCGGCGTCAAGGGCACGAACGCGGTGCAATTTACCAAAGATCGTAGCCTCTGGGGCGCGAGTGTTGCGTAGTTTGAAAATGAGATTGTGGCATCGGGGGCGCGAGCGTGGCGCATTTGACGGGGCATCGTGGCCTCGCGGGCGCGAACGTGGTGTGATTTACAGGGGACCGTGGCTTCGGCGGCGCGAGTGCAGTGTCATTTGCGGAAGCCCGACGCGAGGCTATGATGCGGCCGCGGACGCACGTTTGATGGGGATCTTGCCGAACCCTGCTGTGCCTGGAGGGCACCGCGCTCGTCGGTGGAGGGACGCCGTCGCAGGCCTCACACCGGAGAGGCTCGTGGATTGGCACATCTCTGGGCGCGCCGCACGTACCTATGGTGCTGCAGGTTTGTCCATCGGAGGCAGGGCGGGCCCCATGACCACTTCCGCGTCTGGAAGGCCACGCCGTCCCTCAGCCCAAGTTTACTGTGCGAACGACTACGAGGCTGCCATGCGCGCCATCTGCACGATGGCTTGCTGGGACGGCTTAGACTTACCAAGCGACCAAGCGCTACAGGAGCTGAGCAGGTCTTACGAAAGTGCCAAATGTACAGATATGTCTACGTGGTGGGTCGCCACCGTCACCATTGAGCGCCAGCCGGCGGTGAAGGCTCGGAAGAGCAACAAGAAGAAGGGCTGTGGCCGCGGACGTGATGTCGTTCGCCAGGGTCTCCTCAGTTTCGGGTGAACCGACGAGGGCGCGGCTGTCACAGCCCTGATTCGTGATGATGGTGGCAACATGACCTGCCCTCTGATCCCCGCGCATGTGGCGAAGGAGGTGGAGAGGGGCGCTTCGGTGTTGCAGCAAGATCGCACCGCCCGCGAATAGCGGTAGGCCTTGTGATCATAATGCTGCTCAGCCCACGCGGGCCGCTTCCCCCCCGCGATCCGCGCGTCCCTGGGGGGGGGCGGCAGTGGTGGCTCGCCATCTTCCGGTGACAGGAGTCAGCATGGAGCACGACGACACCGACCACGAGAGATCTGTCCCTTGCCCGTCCTTCCTGGTCAACAGCACCAACACCATTCTATGGCCCACGGCAGCGCTTGCGACAGTGCGGCACGCCGTCGCGGTCTTCGTCGGGACCGAGCCGTTGACCTGGTCAACGAGGTGGCCTACACCCACAACGAGATTTCAGTCGGCCAACCTGGCGCCGCGAACGACTGGCACAAGCAAGCCTATTCTGGTCGACTGCTCGCGCTGGACAACATCCGCGAGGTTGCCCGCCCCTTCGGCAAGCTTCTAGAGGGGCGGGCTTGCTCAGGAGCCAGGCAGGAGCCCTTGAGGAGCTCCGGGAACTCGGCGACTGCGCGGGGGAGTCCGCCACCGTCGCTTTGCCACCGCCGTTGCCTTTCCAGGTCCCTGGCACGGTCGCCCTGGCTTCCGGCGTCAGTTTCGCAGGACTCCACGTCGACGGCGAAAAGCAGATCGCCGTGGCCGAGGTGGACTTCGCCGATGCCTTCTGCAGTATGTTGCCGCCGTCGGATCTCCGGCGCTACTTCGCACTGCGCAGCTGTCGGGCGGGCTCGCTGGACTTGAGCGTGACCGCCGACGGCCACCCGCTGGCGGGAACGGATCAGGTGCATCCGTGTTTCCGCTGTCCGCCGCTGGGCTGCGCTTTCAGGCCGCGGATCTGCCAGAAGATGGATGCGGAGCCGATCGCCCTGCAGTCTCCTGAGCTGACGTCTACCAACCGCTTCGTGGAGCGCCGACCAATACCGCAGGTGACTGAGGATGTATTCCATGCCGATCATTTAGATAATCTCATCGGCCTCGTGACCAACTTGGGAAAGAGCGCGTTCTGTGGTCGCTTGGAAGGGGGGGGGGGTGGGACCAGACCCCCCCCCCTGGATGGAGGGGGCGGGAATTAAGACCCCCCCCTCCCTGTTTCTCCTCTCCTCGGGTCGGCGCTTGCGTCGGCGGCGGCTGGCGACGGCGGCGGGGGACGACGATTTCCATTTCTGGGCCAGCGCCGGCCGGCGTCTGCGGCGGCGGGCGGCGGTGGCGGGGAGCGTCGACGAGGACGGTGGTGGTGGTGGTGGTGCGTTGTGGTGGTGGTGGTGGTGGTGGCGGTGGTGGTGGTTGTGGTGGTGGTGTGGTGGTTTGTTGTGGTGGTGGTGGTTGTGGTAGTGGGTGGTGGTGGTGTTGGTTTGGTGGTGGTGTGGTGGTGGTTGGTGGTGGTGGTGGTGGGTTGTGGTGGTGGTGATGGTGGTTTAGTGGTTTGTGGTGGTTTGTGGTGGTGGTGGTGGTGGGTTGTGGTTGTGGCGGTGGTTTGTGGAGGTGGTGCTGGTGGTGGTGGTGGCGGTGGTGGTGGTGGTGGTGTGGTGGTTTGTGGTGGTGGTGGGTTGTGCTGCTGGTTGTGATGGTGGTTGTGGCGGTGGTGGTGGTGGTAGCGTGGTAGATTGTGGTGGTGGTGGTGGTAGTGGTGGTGTTTTTTTTGCGGTGGTGGTGGTGATGGTGAGTTGTGGTGGTGGTTGTGGTTGTGGCGGTGTGGTGGTGGTCGAGTTAGCCAGCTCAAACGAGCCAGAGGGCTCCGTCCACTCCCACCCGCTTCCCACAACATAAGAAGCAAGTGCGTCGCGTCCGACGCCTGTCGCTCATCTTATATCGCGGGTGGCTAGACGTTCAGCGCGCGTCATGAGCTGCGTCCTACTCATGCCGCGTATTGGCTGCATAGATGACTCCACCTGAGGAGGTCCACCCAGTCTCGCCTGAGACATCCGCTCAACGTTGGGCTCAGAGATGCCGCGCGCGAAGTGGTCAGGCCAGCTTCGCCTGAGTTTCGCCCGCTGCACGTGGGACATGCGGCCACGACAGCGACCATGACGAGTGCGACGCGGACGATGACGCTGGTGGCGATGATGAGACGGGGGACGACGAAGACAGACCGTCCCTTTCGCAATGCCATTTGCACTGTCGTCGCCGGGTCGGCTTAGCTCCGAGTTCGCCCCGTCCCCCGAGAAACCCGCCCCCGCTGCCCAGGGAGGCGCTCGGACAATTCGCCGCTGGCGCCGCAGCAGCCGACAACGGCCGCGACGCTACATCGTCGCCGACGCGTAAGGGTGACTTTTCGCCGGGGTGACCTCTTGTGCGCTGCTTTTTGGCCCTCGGGGGGGGCCCTCTTTGCCGCGGCCGGAGGGGTGCGGGGGTCGATTTTGATTTGATTTGCGCGCACCAAAGGTCACTGTTGCCAAAGGGTCTCTCTTACGTGGACACGACAACGGGCGCGCCGGCGACGAACCGCATTTGCTTGATGCATTATGATTTGCCGCCCGCCCAGCTCCTCAACCCGACGCGATGTGCGCCGCGTACCATTCCCGCTATTCGATTCGCAGCGCCGACGAGGAGAAAACAAATTTTGGCAAGGAAAACGTCGACCTTGTGTTTTTGGACCGGTAGGACGGGGGGTCCCGCGTAGGGTTGGCCAGGCGTCCGCGCGCGATGTGCGCCGCGTCCCATTCTTCCTACACTTTTTGCAGCGTCGACGACAAGAAAGTCCACGTTGACGAGAAAAGCGTTGACTCTGTATGGTTTTTTTGATGGGTAGGGCGACCACCCGCTCAGGGATACCCAAGCGATGCTCACTCCGTCCTATGTATGCTACATTTTTCGCAAGTCGACGACATGTTGGCGAAAAACAATTGAGTTTGTGTTGCTTTCTTTACAGTTAGGACGGCGGGTTGCGATCGGCTGGCTAGGTGGGGATGTGGGGGCGTTGAACCATAAGAAGTAAGGATGTGGTGGTGGTTTGTGGTGGTGGTGGTGGTGGGTTGTGGTGGTGGCGGTGGTTTGTGGACGTTTGTTGTGGTGGTGGCGGTGGTGGCGGTGGTGGCGGTGGTGGTGGTGTGGTGGTTTGTGGTGGTGGCGGTGGGTTGTGCTGCTGGTAGTGGTTGTGGTGGTGGAGGTGGTGGCTGTGGTAGTGGTGGTGGTGGTGGTTGTGTGGTGCTGTTGTTGTTGTTGTTGTTGTTGTTGTTGTTGTTGTTGTTGTTGTTGTTGTTGTTGGTGGTGGTGGTGGTGGTGGTGGTGGTGGTGGTGGTGGTGGTGGTGGTGGTGGGTTGACGCGGTGGTGGTGATGGTAGATTGTGGTGGCGGTGGTGGTAGTGGTGGTAATCGTCGCTGCGTCCTCGCCGTCGCCAGCGCCAGCGCCGGCGCTGTTGGCCGCCGCCACATTTTTGGTTGCCCGGCCAGATGGGTTGCGGATATCGTTGGCGCTCCTGTCTCCCCGCCCCCAACGTCGAGTCGGGCCGTCGATGCAATCGTTTCCCCGGGTTCTAGGGCTCAGCCCAATTTCCCCGCCCTTGAGCCTTGCGATGATGCTTCGCAGAGTGATCGCTTGATTTCCTGGCCCTGGGCCCTCCCCACCCCGAGCCGCTCTGCGTCGAGGTCGGTCAATGCTTGCGAACGGACGCTGTCGGCTGCATCTTCGCCCCCCATGGATTTTGACTGAACGGATTTTTCTTTCGCGAGCGGCGGCCCGCCGCGTCCGCCCCACGCCGAGCCATTAAAGTCGCGGCGTTGCGCGCGAAGCAACCATCGGGCGCGGCCGGGCCCCTTTTTGCGGCGCCGATGTTGACGTGGAAGACATGCTTGTCACTTGTCCCATTCGTCCAGCTCTGCGCCGCTAGGAATAGGTGGCCGCGGCGCTTGCGGAACCATGACTTGGCGCGCGTGCTCTTCGACTCCGCGTCGTTGGCATGGAATATTGCCTGCGTGTCCCTGCGCTGGTTACTCTCGTGCGTCGCTGCGGGCGCGCGCTCCGAATTCAATGCGTTGAGGACATCGCGTGGAGGCCCGCCCGTCAGGTGCGACCATCGACATGTCGCGCGCGCGGTTTGCGCGCCCATGGTCTCTCCGAGCCCCCGCGGCTCGCCATCGTGCGCGTCGGACTTGCGCGGCGCGAGCGAATGCGACATTGCTCGCGCTGGGCGCGGCGCGAGCTGCATGCGCCTGGCTCGCGTGCGCGTTGGTTTCGTGGCCCGCGAGCGCGGTGCCCAGGGCTTGCGGCCGCTGCTCGGGTTTCTTGCGAATGGCCGCGCTCTTCCGCGGGGTCACCATCTTCGTCGTTCTCTGCCATGCTCTGGGCGCGGCGGCCCCCGGCTTCTTCGCTGGCTCGGAAAGGGCCCTCCTGCGCGGTCTGGGCGTCGGCGCCCGCTCGCGCCGGCAATCGCTCCAGAAACTGCTTCCGCGCCAGCTGGATGGCCCTGCCTTTGCGCGCGCCGAAGCGGCCCCACTTTTGCCTTTGCTGCGAGATTCGAGCACCCATCCGTCCGCCTCGTCGACGCCGGCCTCTGTCTCGTCGACGAACGCGGTGCCCCGCTTCCGACCGCCAGCCATGGTGGCGCCCAAAGCGAACGGTGCTTTTCCCGAGCGTTGTTGGTGGAACTGCTTCTTGGCGTAGATGGCGTTCTTGCGCGCGTTGCTGGACAGGTCTGCCGTCTCGTCTTGGACGCTTTCGAGGTTGCGCCCCGAGCGGGGGTCGTCGGCTAGGAGCAGGAAAGGCACCCGCGAGGTCGCGGGGGCAGTCGAGAGGAAGCCGCGCGAGCTCACAGGTTCGCAGAAGTGCTTGCGGCCCGCAGTGGTCCACGACCGGCGGCGTGCTTTTCCTCCCGCGGTCGGCGCGGGCTTGGGATTTCGTCTGCCCGCAGCACTCAGCGCGCCCGCCAGGCCGAACGCCGACGCCGCGGCGGAGGAATACTTATGGCAGCCGCGCGCACAGTCGGCGTTGTCCCGCGGCGCCGCCCAGGACCGCCCCAAACCCCGCGCCCTTCCTCCAGCGCTGAGAACTTGCCAGGCAGCAGCAATGCAAGCCTCGACGCGGTTGGGGGGCGGCGCGCTGAATTGGCCTTGCCCCTCCCCCGCCCCCGTCCTCCAGCCCACCTGGGAGCGCAGCGAGGCGCCGCAGCTCGCGCGCCTCGGAGGCGGCGTTGCTGTTGAACCACTCGCCGCAAACGGAGCGCTGACATTGATTGACGGAGATGGGCGCCACGCGGTGCCCCCGCGAGGCCTCCTGCGCAAGCGGCATTGGGCATCGGACAGGCGCCCGCGACGCGCGCCCTGCTGACGCTGCCTTCGATCCAGGACAGGTGCGGCGCAGGCGCGACGATGAGTGGAAACACAGCGAAGGTGTCGCGACGGCACGATGTCGGTGCTTACTTTGCAGACGTTTTCTGCAGCACGTTGTAGAACCTAAGCCATCGAATCTTGAACGCCCCTCTCTGGACATGCCGCCCCCCATATCAAGCTAGCAGACGACGCCCCTGGCCGCGGGCTGTTCGCGGTCCAGTGGTCGCGATTGGTGGGCTCGTCCGTGCCCGCAGTGAAAACCCGAACAAATCCTGAAACAGGAAACGGGCCCGTCAGGGCGGCGTCTGCAGCCCTCGCTGCCCCAAGGTGTCCAGGCCGAGCGCAAGGGCCATGTTGCGAATTGCAGTGGCTGCGCTGCGACCTTGCGTTCGCCGTGGCATGTACCTGGTGTTCCCAGCAATGGCCCGAATGTCGGCTGCGGGGCCCTGAGGCCCTGCCGTCGCTTGCGGCGGCCCTGCCCGCAACGCGCCCCCTACATTCCGCGCTCACCGTTGTTCGGCCGTTGCCCGCGAGGTCCTGCCCAGATCGATTGCACGTACGAGTGGCCCTTCGCCGAAGTGACTTTTGGTGCGTGTCTGGTGGGGCTTCCCGCTGGCCGAGCGCGATGCGGTAGTTGCGTCTTGCGCGCTTGTGTGTTGGCCCCCTGCGGCCCCCAGAAAATTGCACGCCAAAGGTCACTTTTACCCAGGGTCGCTTTTGCGTGTGGCCGACTAGACGGTTCCCACGAAGGTTTGGTACTGGCCGCGTGGTTCGCCCGGAGGCGGCCAAAAAGGCCCCCACAGACCGGCCAAAGAGGCCCCCGAGAGGGCCCAGAGACGGCCCAAGAGCATTTTAGGACGGCCCACGAGGCCCCCAAGACTGAGAGCATGGCCCACAAGACCCCCCACATGTCACCCAGAAGCCCCCAAGAAGATCCCAGAGGGCCCCCCCCCAAAGGCCCCAGGGCCCCTCAGGGGCTTGGCCACGGGGCCACGCACGCAGTGTGCCCGCCACGCGGACCAGGCTTCAGGGCCCCGCCCGTTGGGCCCCACTCGATTCAGCGCGGCCCTTGAGCAGGAACCGGGGTCCGCGGCGCGCGGCGTTCAGAGCCCCCGCCCCCTCTGGTCGGTGAAACGGCAGCGCCTTCATTCTTTCGGAACGTATGGCGTTTGTTCCAGTATCGGGATGTTTTCCTCAGCTTATGGGGTCTCTGGCTGAGTTCCACGCTTTAAAATCGTCCTCGCTGGAGGTCGACGTCGCAGATTCAGATGTCGTGGGTCTCGTCAGGATCGCTCACGTCCATGTCGCCGGGTGATCAGTCTGAAATGAAATATATACATATCCATGCTCGTCTGAAGGAGGCAGGTGGTGGGGGTTTGGGAGCAGGTGTGCACACATGTAAACCTGGAGCAGATGGGAGAGAGACGCTTCACTGCATTTGTAGACCTTGCAGCCCTCAGCGACCCGTCCCACGTCTCCAGGTTCCTGTGCTGCCTCACCCCCCCCGCTCGCTCACATCCGCCTGCGCTCTGCTTCGCAGCGGTGCTCGTTTTTTTGATCAAGGGTCGGCCGGGGCCCCGCGGGGCGTCGCCTGCATAGGCACCGCGCCCTTTCCTCATTGCTTGTTGGGCAATCGCTGCTGCTGCTGCTGGCGAGTATGGGCTCGTAGATGCACGATGCCGAGAAGGCCAAGGACTTCACGAAGCGATCTCAGTCGAGGGGGCTGGCGACGGACGGGGGGTCGAGCCCATCGAGTGCGTCCGGAGTCTGCGATGCCATCGGCAGGGAGGCGTCCCCCCGCCGCCCGCTGCTCTGACAACCGTTGTAGTCGCCGTCGCTGCCGGTGCCGGCGCTGCCGTCGTTGTCGGAGGCAGGGGCGGTGGAGGTACGTCGACACTCACGTGGAGAGGCAGACCAGTGGGCGCAAGAGGCCACTGCCCTCAAGTAGGGCACGTCCCTCTACAGGAGGAATACTCAAAGATAGTAAACCAATAGTCGGGGGGCGATGTTTTGAGCATCGTTTTGCTATTGTTGATCACTTGTTGCATACTGTCTCTTTTCCTCCCAGATCCGCCTGTAGGGGGACACGCCCGACTTCACACTGCCCCGTGTGCCTCGCAGTCTGCTGCACGGCAGTGCCGGCCAAGCGCAGCGTAGGCCGCTCACGCGATCAGACAGACCCCCAGGGCTCGGCCGGCTCGCCGAGGGCTCGGCCACGAGCGGTCAGTCGAGGCGGTTCCCAGCCCCTCGGATCGTTCATTATTCTCTTTTCCTTCGCTGTGCGTCTGAGACCATCATCGTCGATGCGTGCAGGCAGGTGGTCAGGGCTACGGCCAATGCGCTGAAGCAAGGACCCTTTGGGGCGCGGGAGGGGCTCTGGTTTTCGTTCGGGCCGTTCCCCAGCTCTGGGTCGGGTACATCACCTCTACGTTGCCGAGGCTCGCCGTGGCCAGAAAGACCCCTTTGTTCCCTGCTCATCGTTCCTGGTTGTAGCGCGGTGGCTGCAGAGGGAGGAGCTGGAGTCGAGGGAGGAAACGCGAGAGGCGGGCCTGCGCGCAGGCAGCTCGGCGATGGCAAGGTCGGCACTCGGCGCCGCACTCCCCACGGGGGCGCCGGCGCTGCCGTGGGCCGTGCCGGTGCGCCCGGGGCAGCGCAGAGGCGGGGGGAGTTTTTTGATATTATAAAATACAAGATAGTATAACAAGAAACACACATATATACATATATGTATATACATATATGTATATAAATACGTATATCCTTTGGCGCGCAGGTATTGCCCGGGCCAGCTCCTGCCCCCCCCCTGGGTATCAGAGGAGGACAATGTATGTATACCGCTGCCCTTCTCTTGTTTTTCCCCTTTGTGGGCTCCCATGGGAGTCCCTCGTCGCCACCGCCAGGTTTGCCTCGCAATGCTAGTCAGAACGCACCGTGGGAGAGGTCCAGGGAGTAGCGGTATCGGTACCTTGTTGCTTCCCCAGGGTAGTGGGAACGATCGTAGTCAGGAGAGGGCGCCTTGACCCTCCCCCCCCCACATGCTGGTGCTCGCGCGCACACGTTGGCGATCGCAGCGCACCCCCGCCCCGAAGCAAGCATCGCCGTCACCCAGGGCGGGCCCCGCAAGCATTGCCGTCACCCTGCCCCCCCCCCCTTGGTTAATGACAGTTACCGGAAATAATGAAACACAGTTGCGAAAGTCAGGATGAGAAGGAGGGGGAAGACGAAGACGAGGAGACGAGTTGAGGAAGAGAGACACGGATTGGGGCTCGTGGATGAGCGACGGGTCCCGCTGGCAAATGAAATCGGTGGTTCCGTCGCGTTCCGTCGCTAAGTCAGTTTTTGTTACATGGCATTGGCGAGCTTACCCTGTGCAGCAAGAAAAATAATGTGTTAGGTTTGTCTGCAAGATCTCGGTCTGTCTTCGAGCTGGGCAACCTTGCGACCTGGGGACGTCGCCGAAGAGGTGAAGGAGGAGAAGGAGCTGGGCGGACATCACGGAGCATGGACAAGCCCAGGAGCAGTAGACATAGAAGCAACGAGAACCAGAGCACGAGCAGGAGCAGCAGAGGAATAGACATATCGCAACGACTAGGAGCCCAAGAAGTCAGAGGAACAACACATCCATAGCAGTAGCAGCGATGATGAGACAAACGGGGAGGATGATCAGAAATGAAGAGGGAGTAGGAAGAGGACAGAAGCGAAGGGAAGTCCACTCTTTCGTCCAAGACGACCCCGACAGAGCTAACTGGATTCGCCTGGACGGTCCCAAGTGCTTCTTTAATTCCTTCCTCCTGCTCCTCTTCTTCCTACCCTTCCTCGTCCTGCCGATCCCTTTCTTCATCTTCATCTTCCCTTCCCGCAGACGCATTGCCCTCCTCGTGCTCCTCCTCCTCCTCATTCCCAGCAGTAGGGCTTCGCATCCAGTTGCCTTCAGCTCCTCCCGCCACCGTGCCCAGGCTGTGGGCCAGGGCCCTCTGGGATGCCCCTGGGGACTTCCCGGGAGGCTCCCCGGAAGCTCCTCGGCGGCGATCTTCGGGGCGCCTCGGGGGCCTCTCGGGGGCCTCCCAGGGCCTGTTCCGTTTGCACTGCTTCAGGGGAGCGTCTGGAACCAGAGATGCATCAAGGAAAAGTCAGCCAGCACGATGGGGCGACACCTGCATGCGAGAACGCGCCACCTGCAGCCACAACGGCCCGGCATCACTGGGGCCTCCTGGGGCTGTTGGGGGGCCTGATGTTGGTCCCCTGGGGCTTGCTTTTGGTCCCCTGGGGCCACCTGTAGCCGGGGCCTGCTTCTGGTCCCCCCGGGGCCTCCCGGGGCTCCTGGGGGCCCCTCGGGGCGCCTGCTGCCGAGAGGCCTCGGGGGCCCCCCCCCGCCCGCGGGGCGCCTCGCCCCGCAGGCCTCGCTCCGCGCCGGCGCTCGCCGGGCGCTCGCCCCCCAATTGGCGGGGGCCCGCGGGTCGGCCGGCTCCCCTGGGCGGTGGCCGGCGGTGCCCGCTCGTGGTGGTCGCCTCGTGGGCGCCGGCTGGGCGCCGGCTCGCTGGGCACGTTTGCCACCACCACCACCAGAAGCTGGAGGGGGGGGGGAGGTGGAGGGCGAGGAGGAGGAGGAGGAGGAGGACGAAGAGGACGAAGAGGACGAAGAGGACGAAGAGGACGAAGAGGAGGAGGAGGAGGAGGAGGAGGAGGAGGAGGAGGAGGAGGTGGAGGGCGAGGAGCTGGAGGGGGGAAGGAGGTGGTCAGAAGCTCGTTTTGGGGACCGTCCTGGGGCCCACCTGATGGATCTGTTCGAGTCAAGTTCGACTCAGGTTCGACTCAGGTTCGACTCAAGTTCGACTCAAGTTCGACTCGGGTTCGACTCAGGGTCGACTCAAATCGACGGACGTTCGACGCAGCTTCGACGCACGAGTGGAGCGAGTGTCTCCAGGAAGGTCCCCATAATGAGCATCCAAAGGTGGAGGGCGGAGGACGAAGAGGAGGAGGAGGAGGATGAGGAGGAGGAGGAGGAGGACGAGGAGGAGGAGGAGGAGGAGGAGGACCCCCTCCCCCAAAAACTTCTGGTGGTGGTGGTGGGCATGGCTGGCGCGTGCTCCCAATGGACTGGCAGGCTGCACCGGGGCGGCTGGACCACGCAGATTCTCCCCTCTGGAAGGTCTCCGCCCCGCGACCCCCCGGACTGGCTGGCACAACTTCGCGCAGGGCATTTTGCATCTGCTTCTGCCCCAGCGCCCATGCGAAATATGAATTCAGATCATCCCAGCCAAACGGGTATCCTCCCCTCATCCTCTGCAGCGAATACTATGCGCGCGCATTCGTTTATCAAAGATCGTCAGTTTCCAAGAGTCCCTCGCATAAAAACGGGATGAAGTGCACGCGCGCTCGCGTCGTCGCACGCGCATCCCGAATTCAGTCAAAAACCATAGGTTACATTAGGATCCAAAATCGCTCGTCCCGGAAACATATGAAACAAATTGTTTCGCCGCAAGAACTGTCAAAACAAAGCGTGCGCTCGCGCTCTTGCAGATTCTTAGTTCGGAAAAGCAATGGTTTTTCAACATGTTCATTACATTCTACCAAACGTGCCTCCCGCGCGCGCGTGTCGAAATCGCTCGGGCTTTGCGCGCGTGCTGTCGCAAGAACCCCTTGCAAACAAATTGACGAAGTGCACGCGCGTGCGTCGTCGCGCGCGCATGCGGATTTTTTTCAAAACCAAGGGTTTTCGTGGGGGGGTCAAGCTC